CTTGGTAGCAAGGAGGAAAGGAGTGAGTGTAGTGCCGTTGAAAAGCGCGGCAGATGCTGTTTTACCCGCAAATGAAGTAATGTTGAGCTGGCCCATGAGAAGGAGATCCTGGTTGCGGTCGATGATATCGGAGTCGCCATGGTCTTCGGACAGAGAGAGGACCTGAATTCCACGAATTTCGGTCGAGCTACCGAACATAGCCCCATCAGCAGGCACCCACTTGGTACCGTCAAATCGCTGCAGGAACGCAGTGCCATCGCTTGCTGTGCCAGCGGCCCAGAATTGGTCTCCGTTACGGTTGGCAATGGTTAGAGCAGTGACCGGACCAGGGAGGTCGTTAGCACCGGGGACGACTGCGAATTGTCTGCTTGATGAGTCGTAGGTCAGAATCTTGGTCTGGTTGGTGCCAGAAGTGAGGTTGCCCGCAATGAGTAGACTGTTGTCGCTAACCCATGTGAGCGACGAGACGTCACCGGAAAGGCCATTGCCTGGTGCAGTCCACTGACTACGCTCGGTGTTCCAGATGCACACCGCAGCACAGCTCAAGGCGCCAGCGGACTGGAACTGACCTGCGACGAAGATGTCCTTGGACTTCGGTCGTGGAGCGATGGCGTTGACTGTAACATTCACACCCTGTAACGGTGGGGGCTGAGCCTTCGTGAACGAATTGCTGTTTAGGTCGTAGGCGACAACACCAGCAACACGATTGTTGTTGAGCTGTCCGCTGATCATGCCACCGGCATACAAGACATTGTCCAAGACAGCGACAGCCGCAAAGGTGGAGTTGGCATCCAGCTCGTCGTCAAAGCCGGTTACTTTGTCAGAGTCGTTACCATCAATGATGAGGAGGTTGGTGATGTTGCGATCCTCTGCGCCCTTGGTTGCGAAGTGTCCAGCGAGGATCGTCTTGTTCATGCCGTTTTCCTTGTAGAAAGTTCCAGTACGGACTCCAGTGGTGTTGAGGTTTTGTCCTTGAACGATGGCTCGCTTACGAGAAGGGGTCTGCTGCTGCTGTTGCGCTTGGATCTTGATGGGGAAAGCACTGAGTGACAGTTCATCTCCACTTTCGAGCTCAGCAGTACCGCTCGCGAGAAGAGCACCAGATGATACAGATCCGCCATACCAGCGTTCACCTCCGGGCACATCAGCGAAAGTCATCAGTCTGCCGGACATGGCTAGAGAGTAGAAGTCGAGGTTGTGCAGCCAGTTGCCACGAGATGGCACCCAGACTGCAAAGTCATTAACGCTGGTGCTGGGGTTGTTACCAAAGGCGTTGACCCGGCTGAAGAATCCGCTGACAGCGAGCACGTCTTCGGGAGTATTAGCCGTGATGTTGAGCGAGAACGGTACCAAGTACAGGACGACACCATCTACACCGGCACCAAGGGGTTGCCACTGGTTGTTGTTCAAGGTAGCCACTCCGCCGAGGCCTGCTACGTTGTTCTCCGCCGTGTTGGTGAAGTTACCACCGACGTACAGCGTACTAGCGTTGTGGAACATAGTCATGACCTGGTTGTTGAGTCCTTTGCCGGGAAGTGCGCTGGGTTTGTCCTCTCCCTGTCGAACTTCGAAGATGTTGTTGCGGTCGTCGCTGCTGTTGAAGGATCCGCCGACATACAGTGTCTTGTCGCCTGTTGTGACAGTGGTAACGAAAGCCTTCTCCCTAGGAATGAGGCTGGCTCCGGCGGCAGTGATGACCGACTTGGTAAAGTCGTCCGCGTCTACGGTCTGACCAGGCTTGTACTCGAAGAGACCGTTCAAGTTACCTGACGTAGCCTTCAGAAGCGTGAAGCGCACCCTCTGTGCAACGACAGTCAAGGGGCCAGGGCCTTGTCCGCTTGCAGGTCGAAGGATGACTTGTGGACGGGAGCCATCGGTGACATCGATGAAGCCGTTGTAGACCTCGTCGTACTTGTCAAAGTTGTTGGTCTGCCAAAGCTCAACGCTGTTGGGCTCGCCGCCCAATTGTGCTGTGACGTTGACCCGACCGCGGGTGCCGCAAGTACCATCGCCCTGGCATCCAGGCGTGTAAATGGTGACAGAGTAGTTGCCAGACTGTTTGATATCGGGCAGGAAGGTGACACTGGTCGACTCAGTGTCGATGGGTGTGCCTTGCAGAGATGTGGTGAGATACCTGGAGGAGCTGTCGTGTGACGGAGAGACCTGCCAAGAGCCGGTAGAGGTTGCTTCTGACCCTGACGTGGTTGAACCACAGTTCTTGGGCTCGTTGAAGTCGTTGACTGCATAGGAGTACATGGCGTCCTGGAACAGCTGGATACCGTTAAGACCACCACCCTGACCGTACCATTCCGAGACGTCGATCCTGAAAGCGTTCATACCAACGACGTTGACGAAGGAGAAGTCCTGCGCAGTGGTGTTGCCCTCGGGCAGGGGGCATGTGGCGTCGCAAAAGCGCTTTTGTCCGGTTCCGGGGTCAGTGAAGGTCAGGTTCAAGATACCGCCGTCTGGAAGTGCAGTGAAGCGGAAAGTCTTGCTACCACGGCCTTCGAAGTCCGTGTTGTAGAGCTTCATGCTTGTTGGCTCGAAACCGAAGCCAAAGTCGGCCTTCCAGAACCCGGGCGATCGATCGGCGAGCAGCCATGTCGAGCCGGCGCCTTGCGTGGAAAAGTCGGCTTTGCATGCGATATTCTTGGGGTCTGAGAGACCGTTCTGGCCGGAGCTTGTCTGGGCGGATATGTCTGCGGTAGCGATGGGGATGACCTGCGTGTTGTTTTCGCTCGACACAATCGACGCATTGCCTCCTCCGAGACCGTTAAACTCTCCTCCAAAAATTATGTTGTCGTTGGACCGGATGATGGAGTGGATGGGGCCATTGAAGCCATTGAACGATAGGTCTTCCCAGCCGTTCTTCCATACTAGAGCGTTGGACGAGTTCGCACCTTCTAGACTTCCTCCCACGTAGACCTGACCGCCATCTCTATCACAGTAGAGCGCGTTGACCGATCCAGTAAGTCCTTCGAGTGGAGTAACATTGCCGTTGTTGGGGTCGAGCAGCGCGATGCCTCCAGGTGTGCGAAGATCGCCAACACTAGTAAAGTTGCCTGCGAACACGACTCGTTCCGCGCCATTGACCTGGAGCGCGCACATGGCCTTGATGTCGGCATCTGTGGTGTTGATCGTCGCAAAGACGCCGTTGGGGTAGCGTGCAAGGAGAGCTCCTCCAGTAGCGGGAGTATTTTGATTTTGGCCTTCATACTGGTAAAGCGATATCGAATCGAAATCTCCAGCGAAGGCTATCCGGCCTAGATCGTCGAGGTTGAGGTTGGGATTTGGGACGGGTTTGAAATTATAGGCCGTGGCTTGCGAAGCCACGAGCAGCGAAAGGGTGAGCTTGCCGGCCGCCGTGCGCAGAAGGGCAGCGAATGACTCCTTCATGGCAGCGGTGGGTAGCAAGGTCGATGGGAAGAATAGTGTTGGGGGTGCGAGTGTCGGAGGCGACTGTTATGAAGAAGGGATGGCCACGTTAGGCATGGGAGCGGGTGTCGGTGGGCGGGGGAGGCAGGTGCGGTTTGCTCAGGGTCGTCACGATCGATGGATCCGGTAGGCTGGTTCCAGTGAAGCTGTCAATTAGCCTCGCAAGGGCGCGCAATGGTCTCCGGAATCGATTATGGACGGCAGGAACGAGGAGGGCGAGAGTCGGTCGCTCTTGCGATGCAGGCGTTCGCGGATGAGGAAGTGCCGGCGGAGCGTTGCTTGGCGCACGGTGAATGTGACGGTGATGGTACGGGGGGGTGTATTAGGTGCAGGTTGCTGCTGTGGTGCTGTCTTTGCTGGTTGGTTTCCTGAAACGAATGACTGAGGTGAGGGTTGCGCGTGCTTGAAGGTGTCTGGGAGCCGGCTTCCCGTGTGGCACTGCTTTTTGGGAGAGTTGTCAGAAGAGCCGTCAATCGCGTCGAAGGGAAGGGGCGCCCGGGGCTGGAGCTTGTGCGCTGATGAGAGGCCGCCAAGTGCTGGCGTGATTGGCAGCCCGTGTGCGCTAGTGGGTCCTAAGATTGAGCCTGCAGTAGCGTGCATGTGCGAACCGCGACGATTGAATATCGATTCGGTGCGACAAACACGTTCAAATTCAAGCTTGCAGGGTGTTCGCCGTTGCATTCACGAGAGTGTCCTGGACGACCGTGGTTGTTGTTGGGAGCCAAAGCAAAGAAACGCGTCACTCGCTGCGCCGTTGTCATCTGACCTGCCCCTTTATCCCAGCAGACGCACCGCACAACGCCCGCTATATAGCCGCTGCAGGGCGGTGCAACTAACAACTTGACGACGCACTCTCCCGTCATCGTGGCTGGGGTAGCACCATGTTCTTGCCCGCTACCCAAATCCTTAATCACCTTTGTGCGACCGTGGTCGCGCATGTCTTTCACTCTTCTCAACAGCAGCTTTGTTCACTAATATTCCTCTTCGGTGCCGTTTCTTCTTTGCATCCGAGACTGCTAGGCGTTTGGCATTGATGCCTGAGGTGGCCAGACCTCGACCTCCTACATCGTGAATGTAACGGCATTTGTAATTCCTGCTGCGTCACATCTTACTACCGTCATGTTATACTCTGGCACTTGACTCGCCACTTGCGTCAAACTCAGTTGATAAGATAGGTGGACGGCATAATCGCGATGAGTTGTTCTGGTGATGACGCACGTCTGCCATCCAGACCCTTGCCCGGATCGCTGCCCAGGTGTCAACGGTCACGACGCACGACGGCGTGTTTCACGACTCATCCCGGCCGCTCCTGAGACCCAACCGTTGATGCTTGACCCGGTCGAGCGAAGTCTCGCCCGCCTGTGCACCAAAAATACATTCGAGGCCTTCTTCAACTTCCATCGTGAGGCGAGTCTGTACAACAGACAACATCAATTTCGTTGCTAGACACACTCAATATTATGGTATCAAGAGATTAACATTATGTATCTGGTCGACCAAATAAGCTCCAACGCCGCGCTGATGCTTCCAAAAAAACAAGAATCTTCATATCCGCACCTAGCCTCTTACATCACAGGCTGCTCTTTCTCAACGTCCCCAACCTTGTCCTTGTCCACGAAACCCCTCTCCGTGTCCATGGCACCATTCATGTCGTAAGCCTTGATGAACCAACTGCCGAGCAGGGCCACTGCACTAAATGCCAACATGACGATCCAGATGTACTTGAGTGCGTCCGTGTAACTTTCCCTGAGTTGCTCTCTCATCTCTCCCTCAGGCATCTCCTTGATGATCTCCACTAGCCCAGCCGCATCGCGAGAATATTCCGCCGCCAGATCAGCAAGTAGAGGGAACGTAAGCATTTTCTTCTTCATCTGGTTCTGGAAGATGACGCCCCCAATGGCAACACCAAGCGTCTGCCCAAAGGCACGGAAGAAGGAGAACATGTTCGCGGCGTAGGCCTGGTCTTTGGCCGTCGCTGAAGCCTGTACGGCCAGAGCCATGGCAGGGAACAAAATGCCCGTTCCAACACCGCCGACCAGATTGAGAAAGATCCAAGACACTGTAGATGTGTTCGGCTTGAGAATGATGAGGAGGCCCATGCCGAGTGTGGCGAGGAACCATCCAGCGCGGTTTGCCCATCGATATTGTCCCGTGACTGCGATTGCAATGCCCGTTGCGACTGAAGCTGGTGCCACAGTGAATGTCCACGGAAACATGGCCACTCCGGCAAGGATCGGACCGAAGCCTTTGACAGCTTCGAAGTAGAGTGGCATGTAGTAAAGGATGGCCCACAGTATGATACCGTGAATGATTGTCGAGACGTAAAGAACGGCAGCGGACATGTTCTTGAATACCGAGGTGCGGATGAGGGGGTTGGCGGCGAAGTACTCAATATACACAACGAAGACGATCATACCGATGGCACAGACAATCAGGGGCACGAGAGTACGCCACGAGTCCCAGGCATACTGCACTCCGCCCCACGTGACGGGAATGAGGAAACCAGTCGTCGAGGCAAGGAATAGCACCATACCAATCCAGTCGACCTCTCGGAGCTTCGCAAAGAAGGCGCCATGTTTCTGGTTGAGCTTGAGAAACATTGTCACCAAAGCAGCTCCGAGGCCGAGGAAGGGCAAGTTGATCCAGAATATCCAGCGCCATGATACGTTTTGGGCAAAACCACCACCTAGACGTTGTTAGTACAGACTACTTAGATCTAAGGGCCTAATATAAGGAGAAGAATGAACAGGTCTAGAGACTACATCGAGGTAAGAATATGCAAAGTGGGTTACCTAACGTCGACGTAGGCTCTAGGGTGTTTTATTTTTTGCCCAGGTTGACGTCCTGGTATGTGCCACTTACCGAGAAGAGGTCCTGCCACCGTGCCGATGGACCACATAGCTCCGAAGAAGCTGAACCACTTTCCCCGCTCACGGAGCGGTACAGTATCGACTACGACCATTTCTGTCAAGCAAATGATACCGCCACCACCAATTCCCTGAATTGATCGACCGACCAAGACGACGGTGAAGTTGTCGGCCACGGCGGGGATGATTGAGCCAGCTAGGAAGAATCCCAGACTAACGTAGATCAGTGCTTTGCGCCCAAAGATATGTGAGAATGATCCGAGAACGGGCTGGAAGACGGTTGATGTTAACAGGAAAGAAGTTCCACTCCAGAAAGCTTCAATGGCAGATCCGTGTAGTGCTTTGGCCATAATCTGCTGTGTATTAGCACAGTAGTGCGTAGTGGATATCACAAACATACTGGTAGCGCCACCGATATCGAAGTGGCATCCAGTGCGGCCATGAGTGTGATGATACAGAGACTGCCAAAGGCAGCCAGAAAGCGCCAGCCAGGCTTGAATTTCTCGGGTTCGGGAGCTTTGAGCCTATCAGACACTGAATTGCTCAAGGGCTCTGTGTGAAGTATATCGGGTTTTAGTTCGTCCTGGACGGACAGTGATGAAGGTGTCGCCATGATATGCTAGTTGCTGCGCAGTACTGCGAAGGAAGGCGGCCAAATAATATGAGGTGGATGCACCTCATACAAGAAAAAAACTAAACAGGTCTGTAGACTACGTTAACCTAAAACTTTGCAAAGTAGGTAACCTAACCTTAACGTAGGCTCTAGGCTGTTCAGTTTTTCTCTGGGTTGGCGTGGATGCGAGGCTGAGATAGCTGCGAGTTGAACGACTCGTGACGATGGTGCTAGTTAGATTTTGTCTGGCTGGTCGTCACTTTGGGCACGACTGTCAGCCTAGATATACTCGCTGCATGCCGTGATTATACGACATAACGGACGAAGATACCATTTGACCGGCGCAGAGTCAGAGCGCAGGAGTCTTCACACACACCCCTCGGGACAACATTGCAGTGTAACATCTTTCGACCGGACATCTTACTTCAGCCTCAAGCCATCGCACTAACCACATTGCTCCATCACCTTACAATACCGCGAAAACGTGGTCGGTGCAGCAAGACTTTGGCTTACGGTGGCACTCAAAGGCGCGGCCGAAATCAGGAAATCGCTGTCGGAACCAATCAGACTAGATAGCAAACCTTTCAGATCGGGCACAAGACGCGATATGGCGTTTTGGCGCAAGTATGTTTAGCGTGCATGCGATGCTGATGGGCTGCCACATCCAACGCTGTGCGGGGAGTTGTTCATCCGGCTCTAGGCCAATCTGAACTGGGGCGTTTTCGAGTCTCTCCGACGAGAGCAATGTTGACGTTATTGCCTGGAAAATAAGTCTCACATTACCAATCACGGCGGTATGAGTGTGGAGATTGTACATGATGTAGAGTATGATTGTCGATTGAGATGTCGTGCAGCTTACAGTTGTTGATCAGATGGCCGCGCCTCAGGGCTGGAGATGGTTGAGCGCTAGTGACGAATCCGGCGAAGAGGCTTGGCGTTGCTGGAATACGCGAATTGACATGATGCATGCGTCCCACCCTCTTCAATCAACAGACTGCTTTCATGCAACATCACCCATCATGCCATTCATCGATTCGGACTGGTGCTTGCACAACACATTGTCCTCTTTGGGAGCTAGCGCTTAGCTGTGACTGCATGTCCTCCAGGTGCCGACATGTGGAATCGCGAGCTTGGGAAACCCGGCCTCCAGATGCCTAAGCACCTCACTGAGAAGAAACAAAGTGGATTTTCGCAATGAGCTGCTCTACTAGCAGCTGTGTACAGATCTTGCTTGGGCCAATGCGGGGCCGCATTCATTCCGTAGGCTCCAAAATAGAAAAGTTATTGACTTTTGTTTTGCGATAGGGCACCCCTAAGCGATCCGTTCCTGTTGATCGCCACGTGCAGCTCTTGATGGCGCTCTTCTTTGTTTGTAAACTTCTGGAAGCACTTCGGAGTGCGCAAGTAAGGAGTGTGTTCCAACAGCTTGTACCTGCTCGCGACGGTCCAGGACGGAGGAGCGCATCTACCTAGGGATCCTTGAAGCATCATACCTTGAGGTCATCACCGCCCGAGAACATGGACCGAACCGTGGGATCCTTCAAGTCCTTCATTCGAACCGTACCGCCAAATCCAAGCACGTTGAGCGACGTCTCGTCATCGACTCCAGGTAGTCAGACACTTTACCCTCTCATCATGCCATCACCGCCGAAGCAAATGGACACCGATGTTAACTTCACTCCATGGATAGCGCCCACCGAATGGGATTCCATCCCATCTGCTCAGCCTGTTCCGGTCTCTGCGACCCGCGAATGCTCCCCACTAATACCAGAGCCTTCTCCCAGTATTGGCAGCATACGGACAGAGTCTTGGTCCTGGTCGGCTGAAACGAGCGACTTTAAGCCTGCACCATTGCGACTTGTACGTCAATACTCGGACCCTGCATCTAACCAGCCAACACGCGAACTGTCGAGATCTTCGTCGCATGGAAAGGCCCTAGACACTCTTATCTCTCCTACCTTTTCAGAACCATCCGCAGATGTCATATACCAAACATCAAATGATTCACGTAGAGCGAAAGCATACGTATCGTTGGGCATAATGTGGCCGAGAGAGACAAAGACTGGATGCGAATACTGGTCTGCCACTCCGAATGAAGACAGCACTACGCGAATATCTCCAGCATTACGAGGGAAGAAATTACCACCATTGTACCGTGCGAGCCCATTCTTGGATGACGAATGCGAAGATGAGGAGCTGAGCGATAAGTTGCTACTTCTAGGCTTCTCGCAGGACTATCATGGTGTATTGGCGGACCAATACTATGAATGCAGAGCTCTTCGACCTCGAAGCAGCGTTCGGAATGTCACCTCAACGGGGTTGTCTATGTGCGGCTGCATACCAATTCCAAAGTTCCGATCGAGAACCTACAAGTCGATGTCAGAGCAGCCGGAAGGAAGAAAGCCTTCGAACATGCGCAGGAAAACTAAAAAGAGGAGCCTTTGGACACCACTCCAGCACATTGATCGAGAAGACCAACAACCATCCGTCGATGAAGGGACACCCCCGCGCTTTACCAAAGGATCTACCACTCCCCATCAGAAATCTGTTTCAAGCGTTCCGTCCCGGGCTAAGGGCCAGGGGACCAACAAGTCACGCGCTGGATCTATCGAACATACAGAGACCGAAAAACCTTCCCATAGCTCACAAAGAACAGCCTCTAATTCCTCTTCTCAAGGATACCGCAGTGTTCTGTTCCGGCTCCCCAGAGGTTTTGCGTTGGTCCGCCTGTCTTCGGCTACAACATCGCATTCCGAAGCGACAAATAGCTGCGACGCTCTTCCAAGTGAGCACGAACGACAAAAGTCGAGCGCAGTATCCGACTACCCCTGGCGCAGGTCATCCTGGTACAATTCATCTCCGCCGACTTCTCCAACCGCGCTCGAATTCCCACCTCCGCTTCCTGTCTACGCGTCGCAAATCCCGAGGTCTCAATCGGTGGGTTCCTCACCATATCTGGCTAGCAAAACGTGGGTGGAAGAGGCACATGAAGAAAGACTGCCTGATGAAGAGGATAATAGGAATAGTAATGGTCTGGTGAAAAGAGCACGGGATGTGCGCGATACATGGCGAAGGCACCAGAGAGATACTAGGCAAGATAAGCTTAAACGAAGTATTAGAGTTGTTGGGCTTGTAGATCCGACATTAGCGGCTGGCTATGAGAAGTCTTGGGGTAGACGAGAAGGAGACGATAGCAGTGATTAGAGTATAATGACAAAGCATACAATTCAGAATGTCCTGTGGACAGCAATTCCATCATCTTATCATACTAGAATGATTACCTGTTTCCCTACTATGACGTCCTACTAGTAAATCCTTCCTCAAGCCTCGCCGTCAAGGCCAAGACTCAATGAAAAAGTAGATCTCTGATCGGCTAAGGCAGAGTTCGCGAACGATCTAGCGCTCATACGAAGTACCTTACCAGGAAGACACTCGAAATGCGGTTCGAGCTCGGTTGATCCTGTATATCCAAGTGGGTAGAGACACTGCCTCGCATCCCATGACACGCCGTTGACGCGTCACTAAATCACCCGAGAGCGATCTAGCGAGGAGACCACCGAGAGAGTGGATATCCTGAACAGGGACTGTAGGTTGACTGCGCACCTGTACAGTGTTCAGATGGGGGCATAACTCCTTACTAATCCCGGAATACAAGACTAGCAAGCGGGACCCATCCTCCGGTGTGGCCCAGAGGTCACGCGCCCGGACGCGTGAGTCCTCCAATCCATGACATGTAATGATAGGCGTTACATATCACCAGATGGGGCGTCTGGCATGCGAAGTCGTCTATCCAGAATTGTCATACAGGTGCCCGCACGTGTATGATGATAGTTCGGAGAGCGCTATCTTCCCGATACTACCGAAAATGTGTTTCGTGCGTACAACGAAGCGGGAGGTGAGTGACCGCGAGTCGACCTGCGACAGTCACAGTATAACCTCGACAGCTGTTCTGCCACGGCCAGCGTGCGAACAGTGTCACTCTGAGTGCCCTAGAGAGGCCAAGTACAAGCCAGCTCGTACTTGCAGGGCGGACGCTCCTGACAAAGAGACCGCTCGTCGCGGATAATTAGTGCAGCGTGCAATTTGACGTTTCGGGTTGTCAGACCTTGCCCAGAGCTGGTGGCGATGTCAGTGAAGCTGAGGATTTTGGGAGTGAGAGCTGGGCTTACTATTTGTGTCGGTTCGTGATGGTCTGCGTGAGATGTCGCGCTCTCCAATAATTGGGCGCATTTGCGTGGCGAGGGACGCAGGTGGGATGTTGATGGAGGGGAGAAGGTGAGGGCAAGCGTTATCAAGTAGAAGCTCCAGCTTTGGCCAAGCCGCTAGCGTGGAGTCACGTTAGTAGTGAATGTCGTCGGAAACGTCATCACCGCTCCACAACGACAAACAACTAGGTGAAGGTGAGTTTCTATCTCCCGATACAGCCGCTGCAATCAATACTGCAAGCCATATCGTAGGCCTTTTGACATTCAGGACGTCACATTTAGATTAGACAGTCGTGATAGGTTGACAAGACGAGGGAGTGCACTTCGACCACATCGGCGTCTGGCGCCTACTATGATTTAATGAGCCCAACACTGTAGGCCAATAAAGCGCTCATATGTCTACGTTGATTTATTCTGCCTAGGACTAGAGGTTAGTAAAGCGCTCATATCTCTACAATAATCTACTTAGCCCAGGATTATGAGTCGATCAAACGCCCAGGTGCATACAATACTTGCTCAGGCGTTCCTAAAGGTATATTTAATGACATGTAAGCGAATACAGAGGTAACTGTACCTGTGCAGGTAGGGTAAATAAAGCAATGACGTACGCAAAATATAGGTATGTTCCGGCGCAAACGCGAACCGCAAGCGCGCCTCAAAACGCTTTGACTCCGCTAGGTAACCTCCAGGGCAACTAATCCCATGTATTTCTACATCTGGTTAACACTCTGTATTCGTCAACTCTAGGGTTGCCTCGACATGACTGAAGATCTAGCTCACATGTAAGCCTCAATCGGTTGCCAGACAAGCATAAGATGGACACTGACTTCGTATATCAGCACTGCGGCCAACGCCCGCGACTCACCACTACTGCGACTTCCTGCCGAACTTCGCAATCGAGTCTACGAATACGTGTTCGATGATGTGCGATTCCATGTCGACAAGACCACCACGCAAATCCCGTCTCCTCAGCACTACTCCCGCTGTATTACGAGCTCTGAGGTACACGTTCGATTCCGCATACCGTCTACATGTCGCCAGATCTTCGCGGAGACAGCGGTCATGCCCTATCGTTCCGCAGTCCTCGAGTTCACCAGCCCACAAAGGCTCATGAACTGGTTGAGAGACTTGCCACCGGGAGTTAGAGGAAACGTGAGGAAGGTTTCTTTCTACAAAAGCAGTGTTGCTGGCCTGATATCACGAGAAACAGCTAGTGATAGTAACGTTGGAGCCCAGCAACACGACTGGCTCATTGAGGCCTGTAGCTCGCTTCAAGGTCTAGAACGCGTTCACCTCGGTACTTATACGAGGACGTTCGATACAGAACTGACTGCGGGTGTCGAGTTCCTCCAAGAACAACTCGTCAAGTCGGACGGAAGGAAGGTGGAAGTAGTCCTGCGGTGAGCTGCTCCTTGGGCCTTATTTGGCTGTCTTTGCAAAATATCTAACATTCTTCAGAACCCGCGTGCTATCTTAGTCGCAGGTGGACAGAGTATAATCAGGTCCGGTACAAAACCACCTTGAGGCATACGAAGTGACGTGGCTCTCTCGTCTTGTACATCGCCGCGATGATGTCTGCTGCTAAACGGGGTTTGCGATTTGGAAATACCACTAGAAATGTATTTGTATTCCTTAGAAGCAGTAATAGCATCTCGAACTAATTACGAAAGCGTCTTGTCGCTTTCAAACCACCATCTCCCAAATCTGACCACCACCCATCAAGCGCCAAAGGCCGCCCTTGCGATCGCCAGCCACCTCACCTCTGGAAGCCCTCTGGTCGATCGTCTCCCAAACCATTGGTGTTCCTGAGTACCGCGAGTAACTTCCGTCCAGAAGCTCAACATACAGATAGTCTCCGATCGCATAAATGTTGTTGACCACTCTGCCGCTGTCGATCAGAGTCCACCCTCTTGTCGCATTCATCTTGAGAACTTGGTTCGCGCTGCTATCCCATCTGTAGACGTTGTTACCTCCCACGGCCAATTTGGCAGTGTAAGTGCTGTCGACAATCTTCCATTGACCGGCGTTGTAGGGCGCTGGCGTGCGTACGATGGTGCCGTTGTAGAGACGATTCCACATTGTGAGTTGATCGTCGAACAGGATCTGGGTCGAGCTGGAACTATCTGTGATGGGAGGCTGGTCGATGGTAACCCAAGCGCCGTCAGACAAGCGTGCGACGGAGCCGTCTTTTCGTTGTGCAAAGAGCTGATCACCCGCGGCAACGATGCTGTAGACACTCGTGTCTGTACCACTCGTCGACTCCCACTCTCCAGGCTGACCCAGCCAGCGGAATGTACCACCATCGAGGTGCCTCTGCCAAAGGTTGCCGTTAGCGCCGGCGATCTGGTAGGTCTGCTCGTAGTTGTCGACGGTTGTCCAAGCGCTGTTGATGTATCGCTGGATCTGACCGGTTGGGCGCACGATGTAAAGACCATCGTTGGCGGCTGAAACACCCGAAGATGATGTTACAGTGATAACGTTATTGATCCTCGCGGTATCGTCAATCTTGATCCATTTTGGCGCAGCCCTCGACGCTACGGCGCTTGAGTGCAGAGAACTGGTCTCCTCTCCGATCTTCGGATGGGGTGATGCAAGGCAAGTAGAGAAGGCCCCGAGTAGCAGTTGGATATAAGACGACTTCATGCTCGGACAATACGTGCGGTTGATGAGTTTTGGAGAAGGGTGCTGAAAGCTGCAGCGGGAAGACTATCTGAGGCTTTATACGTATCCCAGCGGTGTAATCTAGAGCCTTCGTGATTAGTTTGTAAATCTCGGCTGGTTTGTCACATACATGATATGCAGGTATTTGGCGAAGCATCGTGGACTGTTCCTTCGCTTCATCCCGCTAAGTTGTACTCGACCCTGTACTAGATCGGGGCGTATACCTTGGCATTATTGTGAGGCCTGATGGCGCGTTCTTGTAATTGGCAGGATTGTAAGCGAAGTATATAGCTTCTGGCAGGTGGGAGAAATTGGGATGCGGTTGGTGGATGTGGTGAATGCACGAATGGGTCGCGGACCGACCCGGCAATGTCAGCCTTGGTGTCGAACGTCAAGTAAAGAATCTACAAGTAGATGGATTTGTTCTGCACAATTCCTGAGTACGCGTTTGTTCCTCCATCTCTTCGGCGCTTTGAGGAGCGTTCGATCTACTCGTTGGCACCCTAGGACCCCAGCAAGACACGCCGCGTCGCGTTGCGTAGTTATCCGGCTATATTGAGAGTTCAACGCACCAATTGAGCTTTCCTGGATGATGAGGATGGGGGGCCTTTCAACAAATTCCTTCGCAACGGATCCGAATGCTGGTTAGATCATGCATACTGCATGCAATGTTAAAGCGTCGACGCGCTCTCGTGCTAACGCAAAAATTGGAAATAGATGCGGCTCTATAGTTCGTGGCGGTATCAGGGTCCAGTGAAAGTGCCGTGCTGGAGAGTCGAGACGTCTACGCAGGATTCCGGAAGCCACCTGGGCATCAAGTTTCGCCTAGCTCGGGGCGTATTGAAATGTAAGCTTCATGGAACAGGAAGGTGCTGAATGTGTGGACAGATACGCGGAGGATCGTCCAAAGGATGTTGGTCAGAGACGAAAAGACGACAAGTGGCACATCGCTTCGCGACGCTACCTAGGTAATCTTGGGTAAATGCGTGTCGGGGGCGGCAGAGTCACGTGACCTGATCATGAATTGAGCGACGACGTTTGGATGGAGATGGGCCAAAGTAATGATGGAATTGTGACTCCTGTAGCATTGTAGAAGGTGGGAGTAGGTGTGGCGAAATCGTTCGTCGGGCGTGATAATGCAGGGCGGTGCGCAAATGGTTCAAAGACCCCGCCGCACCGCTCGTGCCTTAGCGTCACCGCCAGCCCGCCTTGTCACCAGTTCCGTTGTTGACTTCGAGGCCGCAATACTACGTCCGAGCCCGCCAGTCCCCGTCAGACGGCAATGAACTTCTGGAACGGAGCGAAATTAGACCCCTCTCTTCGCCGCCGCCAGCGGGCTTGAGGCCGCTCAAGGACCATGGAGAAACGATATATAAAGGCGACAATCATGTCAATGTCTGAAGTCCATCACGAGCTTCGACCCTTGTATTTGCTGCAACCTTAGTCAGACACCTACCAAGATCTCTCCGAAAGCCTTTCATCTTCTCCAATGGCTCACCAAAATCGCCTCGCAAACGCCCACGTCCTTGTCTTCGGCGGCACTTCAGGGATCGGCTATGCCATCGCCAACATGGCCCTCGCATCCGGCGCGCTCGTAACAATCTCTGGATCTGGCCAAACCAAAGTCGACAAAAAAGTCGAAATGCTGCGATCTCTGTACCCAAGCATGCCAGCCTCCAATGTAGCAGGCATCGCCGTCGATCTTATGGATAAAGAGAACTTGGAGTTCAACTTGAAGGCTATGCTGGACAAAGTGACCGAGGGCGGCGAGAAGAAGATCGATCATATCGCTTTCACAGCCGGCAATCCGCTCTCGCTGCCCAAAGTTGCGGAGATTGAAGTGAAGACCTTGATGGAAGGCTTCACAGTTCGCTTTCTCGCCCCGTGTGCCTTGGCCAAGCTGATTACGACGGGCGATTACATGCCCAAAAGCTCCAATAGCTCCATCACGCTTACTGGGGGCACAAACACACATCGTCCAATGCCGAACTGGACCCTAGGCGCAGCGGTCGGCGCCTCAATTGAGGGCTTGACGCGCGGTCTGGCGGTGGACATGGCTCCCATTCGCACGAATATCGTCCACCCCGGCGCGATCCAAACAGAGTTGTTCCATGATTTCTTCAAAAGCGCTCCCCCTGAGATGATGGAGAAGATGAAGAAGGGGAGCAGCCTGACGGGGGAGTTAGGACGCCCGGAAGATATAGCGGAGGCATATGGCTGGGTCATGAAGGATCGGTTCGCGAATGGGACGCAGGTGAATAGCGATGGTGGGCGATTGTTGGTCGGTACCGAGTAAAAGGCTTGAGCCCAGCTGTACACAGTATGCTTCATGATAAATCGAGGTTCATTCCCCTTCTCTCGACTTCTTCTTTGACGTGAGTCCACTTGGTGCAATCAACCAACATACCCTCTAACCCCCGCTTCCGCAGACTCTGTAGGTCTTCCGGACTTTTCTGCACGTCATGCTCAAGCGCGATCTTGAACTTCAACCCCAGAAAACTAAACACTTCATCCATGCGTCCGAATAGAAGTGCGATCAAGTCCACGTCCTCTTTGAAGCTACTGTCGCCGGTGACGCGCCACTGAATAACGAGCACGCATGCTGCAACATACAGCGACGATCCGATGTGTGCAGAGAGCAGAAGGTCGATGGATATACGCGACGCGTCTTTGACGATCTGCGCGATGTTCTGAGCCGCTATCACAGCAAGTGTGAACTGCGAAGCCGACTCCTCGATTGAAACATGCGTCTCACGTCGGTAATGTAGGAGGACTGTCATGGTGTTCAGGATGATGTGTAGCCATGCGACATGACCACGATCAGCTGGTAACGCTTTCAGAATCGAACTCGCTGTGCGCGGGAGGCTGAGATTAAATTTGATAATCATGTCGTCCAATTCGGCACAATCTTCTGCATATTCAGGGCTGTCTGGAGAGGTATGTAGAGAACACAACAGTTCAGAGACCCGGCCAAGCAGGACGTGTGCTATAATCACGTAGTGAAAGACGTTTGGAGAGTCCTTAGCAACCGATACGGCGTTTACGAGACGCGACAGGTTTCTCGTGAACGGTATGTTAGTGATGTGGTTATCTCTCAGTTCAGGACTCATGCCCTGGAACATTGCTTCAGCAACCGGGATATCGACCTTGAATTGTATCTCTGGTATAGCATGGGCCCAGCCCGTCGGCCATGCATGCATTCGATCCATGATGAATAGTAGCCAAAGTGCTCGTCGGGATTCTTCTCGCTCAAGTGCTGACTCGCGGTTGATATTATCAGAAGCACATGAGTATTCGTTAATGGGTATTGTATCAGAGAGGTGGTGGCTGGCATCCATACGGTTCAAGCCGAGCACGACAGCCTGCCTCCAGGCTTTCCCCAAGAAGAGCCAGCTAGCAGAGTAGTCGCCAATAGTCCAAGCGTGGAACACAAGGAGTAGTACGGCCTGTATTGTGCGGACAGCCGGGTCTGGTCTTCGCCGTGTCAGATCGTAGGAGAAACGTGCTTGTTCGTACCAGTCTTTCGAGCGCTTTCGGATTGAGGCGTCTGGGTGATACCTAGCTGTTACGCAGCACATGGCATATAGGAGAAGCGGTGCATCTTTCTCCATATCGCCACATTCAACCTTTGCCAGGAAGCTCTTCCTGTGGAAGCAAGGGAACATGTGGTACAGATGTTCGAAGAAGAGTTCGCCGAGTTGGAGGATCACATGTCGTGGGGGCAACTGTAAGCTCTCCAATATATCCAAGTCTAGCGTACTGGCAGAATGTTCTGCGGTAGATCCCGGAGTAGGATACTGTGGGCGAGATACTACA